TTACACTTCCTGCATGTTCTATCCATTCAGTCAGTCATTGTATGTAAACTCCTTGCACCTTCTGGTTTATTAGGTTACATTAAATTCATTTGCAACACTTTTCCTTCATTTTTTTGTTGACACTATTCATTAAGTTCATTTGCGACATTATTTCTTATTCTGTTTTTAGGCCAAATTATATAATTGTCATTTTAAATAAAGCTTATGAATGAGAGGAGTCTAGCACCCAAACACTCATCTCTATGTGTATTCTGATTTTTTACATTCCCAATATGAACGATGTACGAGTAGACAAAACGAACCAAACAAAAAATTTGTTTTCGAAATTGTATTTTTTTATAATTTCACTTCGGCTAGAGCAAGATCCTTGTTATTCTAATAGTAACTATTATTGCCGTTAATACAGAAGAGAAAGAGTGCACTTCATCACTCATCATTCATTCGCAATCTCTGTATTTTCAAACAAACTGTGCATTTAGTTCTAGCTGCTTTCATTTGAGCTTCTGTTTAACGAGGAATAGTTTGCCTCTTTAAGCAATATATCGAGTGATATATTGCCGAAAGAAGCAAACTATTCCTCGTTGAACAGAAGATAAATTAAACTGTTATAAATTTTTTTTCATAACTGTTTAATTTAATAATAACTAGAAACTCGCTTATAAAAACTCAAACTTGTTACATAACATTTCTTAATTAAAATTAAAAGTCTTTATTGTTCTTTAAGTCTATAGAAAACGTTCAAAATAATAAATAAACTTTGCTCCATTTTTAGTGCCAGGTTAAGCTGAATAGCTTAAACCATAAAGTCCAGCTCTTCTTCTCTACGAGAATAGCAAAAAATAGTTACAATATCTAAAGCTTTAAATGGTTTGACTCTGCCGTTTGTTAAATTTATTTATTTAGCATACTATTTCAATTTATTTGTTTTAAAAATATGTTCTTTTGTGCTTGTTTCAAAGATTTAATTACAATTAACCAATCAAGTTTCATTCGTGCAATACATCATTCACCAAGAGTCTCGTCATTTGGTACTTCTAACTATAAATTAGCCAGTTTTTTACGAGAATTTTTATCTTCGTCTATCCCTTTGTGGTTTTCTACAAAAGATTTTTTTTCTTTTAATAAAAACATTAAAAAAAAACTGAATAAATAAGCGTTTTCAGTCGTTTGACGTTTCAAGGTAATATATGCAAGGGCGGATGTAGGATTTATTTTTCTTTTGGCAAAATTTTTTTGTGTAAACAAAAACTTAACTTGATGATTAAGCGATTTAAAATAAAAAAATAAAAACAGTATTTTCAATTGTTTGACGTTTCAAGGTTTTATATGCAGGCATTTATTTTTCTTTTGGCAAAAACTTTTGATGTAAACAAAAACATTTGCAAAAAAATATATATATATATTAACTTTTTTACAGTATAAAAATATACATATTTTTTTTAAATTATTTGAATTTTCATGCTATATTTTTCTATAAACAGAGTTATATCCGAAGCAAATGTTAGCTTAGCATAGGAACAGCCACAATTAGTCATAAAGACTAATCCAAAGTTCTTTATTGACCAACTTTACTAAGCGGATTTTACTTAAGAGCTCTCGTAGACCAAAAATGTCGGTTGTCGACATCATACCTAATACTTCCGCTAATCTCCCTATTGATTTTCTACAGACGTCAGTATACTGAATATCGAAACCAATTGTCAGCGAAAATGGACCACATTTTACTTCATTCAAGATAAAAACATTTTATAACAAGCTGAACATCTAACACCTTGTTTGTGTCATGCAGCTTCGGTAGCAGGCAAACTCTTAAGTCAAATCTTTTATGAAACCACTAATTAAAACCAAACGAGCAACACTTATTGAACAATGAGACTGAAAAAGGCAGTTCTTTCCCATATATCTTTAGGTCATTTCTTATTCATAATAAGCTGTCGCTAATTTGTTGAAACCTATCTGAGATAAACATTTTTTTTATTGAATAATGTACTTTCTTTGGCAAAGTATCCTTTTGTTAGATTTCAATTCTTGTAATTTCTCGTAAAAATTGGAAATATCCAACTAATTAAAAGGTTTAACAACGAAGTCCATTGGCATTTCTACATTAGATAAATCAATATTGGTATCATTTTTCACATCATTTTCTTCGAACAATCCTTCAGATTTTGTGCCTTGGGTGCCTTAGTAATACTTATAGAGGGTAAAAAAGCAGTACACAGATAATTTTTAACTTTCCACGAGTTTCATCTGTTTCAAGTAATTTGGCTGGCAACATAATAGAAAGAAAATATTTTTTAAGTAAACCTGTAATATCACAGGCAACAAACAGAACTTTATATTTAAGATAAAGTTGATTTAACCTTTAACGTTGATTTTAACCTTTAAAGTTGATTAAGATAAAGTTGATTTAACCTTAAAGTTGATTTTAACCTTTAAAGTTAAAGTTAAAACTTTAACTTTAAAAATTAAAACCAAAATGAAAGAACTATACCAATTTCAAAATAATGATAAAATAATTGTGAATTGACAACAGACATAGCACCGGCACCGACAAATAGCGTTTCCATTGAACAAATAGTGAAAAACGAATAGCTATTCGTTAAACTAGTTAAATGTATTATGAACTAAAGTATAATATACTAAATTAAACCGTACCATTGATCTGTCAGCGGTATTAATACTCCACTACACAAAATCATTAACAAAAAAGTAATAAATTAAAAAAAAAAAAACTGTTAAACTATTCAACATAGCAAACTTTTTTGTTTACATGACAGTTTAATGATAAATTGGTGAACTGGTTATATGGTTCCCACTGCTTTTAAGGCTAATATTTTCAATAGCAATTTTGAAGATAAATGACTCAGAATGTATAATGGTGATTTAAAATATAAAATTTGTAAACACAATATAGCTTTTCATCGGGCCACACAATTTTTTTCCATTCTTTTTCCTTAGTCATGTGGTCCTTGGCCTATTGAAGACAAATGCGTTTGTATGTTTCAGTTAGTGCTGGAAATGTGCGGTTTTTTGCATATCTAAGAACGCCTGACTTGTTAATTGCACGATTCACCGTCCATCTTAAGCATTTCAATCCCAAATCAGTGCTTATTTGTCTATATTTCACTTTATTATTAAATAACGTGAAACATAGTGTATTTTTAAAAAATTAAAAAATTATGCGACTTATTGCGACAATTCGAGAAATTTCTATTTGAAGTTTGCGCGTCCTGGGTTATAGACAATTTTCAATTTTTTTATTTAATCCAAGAAAGCGAATTTTAAAGAAGCCATTAAAAAGTGAAGTTATCGTTTGTTTGTAATTAAATTAAATTAGCAATTTGTAATTAAAGCTGAAGATGCTAGTATCAATAATCTAGCGAAAATTTCTTAGATTAAATAAAAAATTTAGTATTGAGAGAACTCGTATTCATTGATGTTCATATATAAAATTTATTTAACTCTCATACAAGATGTTGTCATATAAATATATATATATATATATATATATATATATATATATATATATATATATATATATATATATATATATATATATATATATATATATATATATATATATATATATATATATATATATATTTGTTATCTAAAATGTTTGCACTCTTTTGACTCCAGAATTTTATAGACATTATAATCTAAATTTTTAATTATTTTATATTAAAGTTCATTAAACTTTAATTCAACTATTTTAAATTTATTATTTAGATTTTATTTTTAAATATATTATTATTTCATTTATTAGATTTCTTGTGTATTTTCTTATAACTCATGGTTTTTTGAAGCATATTTGCTCGTAAATACAAAACAATTTAGTATTTACAAGTACTACTTATATTTTGTAAATGCGAGCACTTTATATATATATATATATATATATATATATATATATATATATATATATATATATATATATATATATATATATATATATGTATATATATATATATATATATATATATATATAAAATGTTTAAGTGCTATCTTATTCATGATTTTAGTAGTTATTTATTTTTTAGTAATTAAGGTGCTCCAAGAAGACCAAATGGTCTTATCACAGAATCACGGAAAAACATTTCACCAGGAGATTAACGCCTCCGTTGTTTGATAATTCCTTACCAATGTCGCTTATCTGACCAGAAACGGCATTGTATCTGGAAGCTTTGGCACTAAGTCTATAATCTAACCACTGCGACACAGCTGTTTAACACCCCACTGCTCTTATATGTTTTTGTTCGCTTTTGGCTAACCCTCATTAATTTTGTACGTACTTTATAGATACTTTCGTACGTACTTTATAGATACGCTCGTACGTACTTTATAGATACTCACTTAGAGATTTAAAAATTGGTTGTATTACTGAAACTATAATGTAAAAAAAAATTTGAATTTGCAGCTGATGTTTTTACTTTAAATGACTTTGTATTTTTTACGTTTTCAATAGCTTATCTTCGATGAGAAGATAACCTGATCACCTGATGGTGATCAGGTGATCAGGATTCAAAACTGATAAAAAAACTGGGTTTAATAATCGGAAGATTATTTTTGCTTTGATCAATACTTTGCTTCTTAAAAAACAAAAAAATCTTTTAGATTCTTGATTAACAATGAGATATTATATTATTTTAAAACTTTTATTTTTATAATTATGATTTAATTTGATTAAAAACAAAAAGTGAGTAAAACAAAATATAAAACAACATATTAATGTATTAATTCTGAAGCTTAAAATAGCTTTATATAGCCCTAATAAACTGGAGAACTCAGCAAGCCACAGATCGCGCTTTTCGAAATAAGAAATTTAAAATAAAAGATTTTCTTTTTATTTTTGTGGTACGAGCTGAGAACAATGATTCCAAAAATCTAATAAATTTTAAACGCGAGGTAAACCATTACAATTAATGAATAATATAGTGTTTGTGTTACGAAGTTAAAGAATATTTGTTCTGTTTTTTTTTTTAAAGTGGTTCGGTTTTTATATTGGTTTAGAATATATTTTTGAATTTAAGAAAGTTTATTTGGACAAGATAAACATATTAAATCCAGAATTTTTTTCGAGCGGCTAAAAAAGAGGACATGTCAAACTCAACTGAAGCTGTTACTCAACCATTATCTGTGGTAGTTCCTCTGATGTTTTCGTGTATTTTAGCTGTTATCTTAAACATAGCAGTATGTTACCTTATTTTAAGAGTGCGTTCTCTTAAGACAGCAACAAACGTTTTTACTTTCAGTCTATGTCTTTGTAACATTTTAATTGCTGGTATATTGATTCCAAGTTATTGTTACTTTAATAGCTCCACCTACTTTAAATACCTACTCACAATAACAATTCTGGTGTACGTTTGTAATTTAACGGCTGTCACATCAGAAAGGTTACTTTCTATAACATACCCTTTAAACTATACAATATTTGTGACAAAGAAAAATACAAAATTGGTTGCTGCTTTTGCATGGCTCATTTCGATAATTTATTCTTTACTGCCGTTGATCTGGAGCAGTGACACCAGAAGAGTTGTGCATAAAATGTACGTTTTTTTTACATTAGTTTTGTTTTTGGTTGCTCCTTTAATATTTGTATGCTTTACATACATCAAAGTATGCATTGAAATTAAAAAAATGCTAAATTACAGCAAAAAATGCATGAATTTAAACAATTTTCAATACTCACCATCCGTTGAAAATATTGGACCAAAAAATGATTCCATTTTAGAGGAATGTAACAACCGAATTCCTTTAGCTGAAAATCTTCTTAAATCAAGTAAACTTTTCTCCAATGTTTGTAGACAAAAACTAGAAAAAAAATCGTCTTTATTAAAACACCTAAAATCAAAAATGTCTGAGTTGAAATTAGCCACAGCGTTCGGCATTGTTGCTTTAACATATATGGTGAACTGGGTCCCCGTCATTATACTTAGCTTTATGGAAGCAATCAACAGATTAGACTTAATCCCAACTGGACTTGAAGAATTTTCAATTTTTATTATGGCCTTTAATACACTAATTGACGCTTTAATTTACGCATTGTTTCTAAAAAATTTTCGCAAAACAATTAAACTGTTTTTAAGACAATTAAAAACAAAAAACGAAAGTTGTTTCTGCTTTGTCTAAAATAATAATAAAATTGAAATATACTATATACAATTTATAATAAAATTCTAAAATTTTTTTTGTTTTATGAAGCTTTCTTTTGATAATACTTCCCTTTATAAATTCACATTATACTTTTTTCTTGTTAACTTTTTTTTTTTTCAATATTTCAAAATATTTAAACATCGCAATTAAAATGGCTACTTCTTTAATATCAAACGTGTCTTACATATCTTATCAAACCCATATTAAACCTGGATTAAAGCCATGCATTATTTCTTTAAATGACATAAAACCAATGCTAACTTCCATTCTGCAAAATAAAAGAAATTTTCTCTGAAACAAAAAAGAGAAATACACAGAAATTTTCTCTGTAAATTTCTTTATTTTGTACTCATATATTTATTTAAATTTGAAGTTTACTGCACAACTGGATACATAATCAACAATATGATGAGTATTCCTCAAACAATTTTTGAAACATCCTTCCAACACTCCTTACAACACAATAGTAGAGAAAATTTAGACACAAAAAAGGTACATCAGAAGCAAGTTATAACTTAGTCATTTTTCAGAAAAAACTGCGGCGAGTGGAGGCTTTAAACAACATTTAAATTTAAATTTATGGGACCTATTGTGGTTTCCTAGCAGATCTATTTATTTTAAGAGCGCTATGTTTACTCTAAAATCAAATTTTTAAAAAACATGATTTTTTTCTTGCTTTTTGTCGTATAAATATATAATTATTATAGATATTCCACAATAAATACAGATCATCATAGAATTGGATTGTTCTACTGACGAATTTATATATTGTCGATAAAACGTGATTAGAGTTTAGATGATTATTACTGCTTTTGTTATTTATTTATATCGATTTTAGTTGTTTTAGTGTATCATCTCTAAAATTATTTATGAGATAAAGTTGAAAGCTTATTTATCTAAAACTAAAAGGAAATTAGATTCTTGATCTACAATGAGATATTTAATGATTTTAAAACTTTTCTTTTAATAATTATGATTTAATTTGATTAAAAACAAAAAGTAGAATAAAATGTCTTACTTGAATATATAGCGAAATTGCTCTGAGCAAAAAACCTTTAATAGTTTTATAAGATATTGAACAATATTTCAGAATGAAGCAATGCTGTATCACATTGATATTTAATCTTGTTTGCTATAACAATTTCACAAAATGAAATTACAAAATATTACCGCAAACAACGTAAACGAGTTTAATAAGTCCCTTCGAGTTTCAATAAACAAGTCGGAAAAATTTAAATATTTAACCTTGATCTATGGCTCAACTATACTATATTTAAACCTTTTATAACAAAACGTTAACATTTTTGAAAACATTTTCATAAATGTTAACAAAATTGGGTATCCATTGGGAGCCAAGATAAAAAAAACTTTATTCTAAAACGGATTTAATCAGCGTAATAGAGAAAGACAAGCTTTTTTCAACTTTTGATATATGTACTTTTAACTATAAAGGACTTAAGTCGAACATTAAATTTATAGAGTTAATCGTAAATTTGCATATTACAAAGTTTCTATAAGAAATTGTTTATCTAAACATGAATATTTGATAATCAGTGATATATATGAAAATACACACTCTGTTTACTTTAATCAGCCTAATAAACATGACCTTGTTCATGATTTCTGCCAAGCACATGGCGGAATCATGATGACCATATATTGGCAATAAAGTTTAAAATGAATAAAATAGTTATTAAAACATACCTCTCCCAACCGCGGAGCAAAACTCTTTTGACTGAAATAGTACAAAAGTCAACTAGATATTGTTAAAGATCTTTGTTATGAAGAAAACGATAATAATGTTATAACTAGTTGTTTTTTTTTTTTCTCACCAATTACATTATTTATCGGAAAGCTCTAACTCCAAAATAAATACTTTGTCTTATCTAAATTTTTAAAAGCAAAATTTATTAAAATGAGTTGACATAACTAGTAGTCTTGGCCCTACTTACACATATCGAAACCAGACACTACCAAATTTGTCGTATATTGACCATGATGAAATATCAATATAGACAAGTTTTCTCAATCTTAAATGTTAAAAACATAATGTTTCATCAAAAACAGCGATTACATTCCACTATCAATATCAGTTAGAGTTAAAGGTCAGCACACTGACAATACTAATGATGTTAGCAGAATGAAATAGCAGAAGATACTAATACTTTAAATTAGACTTGAAACAATTTTAACTTTTTGTACTCATATAATGATTATTCAACTATTCGCTATAACAATCCTAATTTTATTATTGATAATTATGAAAACGATGTTGACCAAATCTATAAAAAAAGGAAGTTAAAGTTTTAAAATTTTCTAAAAGAAAACTTTAAAAAATATAAAAAACAAGTTTTTGAATTCAAAACCTTGTTAGACATCTAAAATAAGTCGTAGTAAAATAACATTTTTGTTTTATTTTAAAAAACGAATAAATTTTTTTAATCCTTATTTAATCCCACTGGACACAGAACGTCCAATTGACGTTGTATAGACGTCCCACGGACGTTGGTGCCCGCTGGAATAGTTTGAGAAAAATTCTACATACCCAATAAGTTGGCTCCAAATTATAAACTTGCAGAAAAATACATATAGTAGGCTATAAAATAGTAAGCCAAAAAATAGTAAGCCAAAAATCTTTGGAATACTTTTAGATATTAAAAATAAGATACAAATTTAAGATATTCATCATAAACAGTAAAACAAAAAAAAAGACCATTTATCAGATTCATATACCATTTTAGAATTTGTAAATTTCTTTGAAAAAGTATTAGCCACCTATCAAAATGAAATTCGGAGAATTCTACCCTGTTTAAAGCATGATTATATATAAATAGATAAAGAAAATATAAGAAAAGTTGTTCCAAAAATCTAACAAATCTCAGGATTCTTTCTGTATTTTAGCAGAGCATTTAATATATGCATGATGTGACTTTAATAAAATTAATTATGTGATTCTTTTAATACTCCATTAGATATGGATATATACCAAAATCAATGTCAACATCAATCGTACCTCTTGTTAAATCGTACAAAAAATCTTTAGTCCATACTACTATGATGGTTTAGCATAACACCTATTGTTAAAAAAAATTCATAAACAACATAATAGTATGCCCGGAAATCAGAGATGTTCACCCCCTAAAATTTGAATTTAATATTCAGCAACCTAGGTGCAGTGGTTAGACTTTTGGCTCAGAATACCGTGATTCTACGCCAATCTCGCTCTATAAATGATGTTGGTATGGAAGGAGGCGTGAACTTTATAGTTAGATAATCTTCCGCGGTGTTCTGTGATAAGACCGTAATGACTTCTTAAAAACTACAAAACAAAACAAAACAAAACAAAAAAAAAAAAACTGTTTAACGCCACGTGCAAAATTTATAATAAGCAAAATTATTAAACAGCAACGATTCACTTATTTACTTTTATAGTTGTAACTGAGATGATACACTTAATAAATTATTCTTTGGTAAAATATTACCACATAGTTACACTATGTGGTTATTATACAACAATATAATTTCAATAATCTCATACCAAGGTTGCAAATTCAATTTCCTTTCTTCTAAACTAAAAATTATGACAAGGATCAATTCTTTTGTCTCACTTTAATGATATTTATACTCAAAACTTACTCAAAACAATTAGAAACCAAAGTCTCGTTAGCACATCTACACTTAGTAATTCGATTTGTATGATTGCATATGCCATTGAAATTATTCTTCAAAACTCTTCACTCTTTTATCTTAAAAAGCTTATAAAAACATGTAATATCTACCCTTATTTAAACTATATTATAAATGCTGAAAAAGTGTTTGCTTTCAAGTAAATGGCTACTATAAAGCAATACGATAATTTTTTTCTGGTAATAAAGCCTTCTTAACAAACTTTGATACCTGGAATTTATGGAGGACACTTAAGATTTTATCTTTGCATCACTTAGTTGTTCAAAAGTTGATAAAAGTTGACCTCAAACTTTAGAGCTATTGTGCAAACTCTTATTCAATCTGGAATCTTGTTAACTCATTCAAGTTTCATTACTTACAAGTTTCATTACTTATATAGATCATTCGCACAGGGTGTTTAGCTGCTGGAAAAACTAAAAATGGCTTATTTGGAAATGCTTAAAAAACTGGGAAATCAATTTTTTAAGCATCATTAAACCAAAGAGGCTCAAATTAATACATTTTCCAATTATTCCAGCATGTTTTTTCAAAACGGTTTTTTTCCAGTTTTTCCAGTTTTTCAAGAAAATGGACACCCTGTCGCAATACTCTCCTTAACTTAAAGTGTAGAATGGGGTGAAAACAATGATCCATTAATAATAATAAAAAGGATGTTTTTTATAAGGAAACTTTCCTTATAAAAATCAATCCATATATATATATATATATATATATATATATATATATATATATATATATATATATATATATATATATATATATATATATATATATATATATATATATATATATATATATATATATACATATATATATATATATATATATATATATATATATATATATATATATATATATATATATATATATATATATATATATATATATATATATATATATATATATATATATTAGTACTAGTAAAAAAATTAAAAATTTATATATAGAAAGAAAATTAATGCCTCATTCACTGGAAAGATCACTGGAAAGTTGCACATCCTTATCAATAAGTGCAAGAATTTAAAATGTCTTATGAGAAGTTCTTCAAGATTCGATCTTTGGTCCGCACCTATTATTAATTTATGTTAACGCCTTTTGCAATGCACAATTAAAACTGAATTCAATAATTTTTGCTGACGATGCTAATCTATTTTTTCCAATAGTCATATTCAACAATTATGTACGGATATGTCCCCTCAAATCTGCACCCCCTTTCTCCCCCCTGATTATATACGGATTTAAATTTTGAACTTATTATAATAAATCGTTGTTTCGGCGCAAACAAACTACGACCTTATCTTGAGAAA